AGTAGATAAACTAAGTGCATTCTGGCTCAATTTGCATAAATTAGGTATGAAAATGGATGTTCTAGTAGATTTCCTGGAAGAGGGTTTTTTGTTGGATTTTGGGGATGTTAGAAAAATAGGTTTGTGGTTTGAGTTAGCCGAAAAGGATGATCCCTAACTCGTCTTCATTATTTGGCCCACTCTGTATAGGGTCCAGGTGTGCCGACACGCCTTCGCCATTCCCAGCCGCGAGCGTATAATGACGTAGAAGTGCGTGTTGTGAATGGTATTCCTTTCACTTAGTCTGCGTTGTTCATTCTGGCTCATGTGTCTAAATTTGGGTTGAAAATGGATGCCCCGGCAGATGCGCGCGAGAGTGGTACTCTTGATTTCGAAGATGGTACCTAAAAGGATATTTGTGGGATTTGAGAAAGTGGGGATATTATTATATATTATGGAGGCATTGTGCTATTTATTTTTAATTGTTGAAAAATGAATGAAAGACAAAGATGTGTTGTTGAGAAAACTTGGGAGGCCATTAGTTCCCACAAAATGTTAAGGTCCCTGTTAAAGATGCGACTACAAGATATTTATTACTTACCGAAAAATTATATTAAGACAATAAGCGTGTGTATCTTGAAGATGGTTGGTATTTATTGCCCGATTATATACGACATGATCCATCTATAGCGAAGTACAGATCATGTAAAAAACATTATTTATCAAACGTGCATAATGACTGTGTTGATGGTCCACCAAAAAGAATAATTAGCTGCGAATATTGCATCCAGGAAGAGATAATCAATTTGGGAAATAAAACTCTGCAATGTAAATCATCTCCAACAATAGATAATGGGAGGTAGAAAATGAAGAATTATGAACTATTTATTGTACTGCTTATAAGTGTTATAATTTAAATAGGAATTAATAAACACGTTTTAAATTTGAAATGTTTTAATAATTTACTTACAAAATAAAGTACATAGAGTATGATTACCTAATTAACATTTTACATATGATATTCATAAATTTTATCAATGTCAGTAAGAACAGCATTTTTATTAAATTTTAAGTGCTCAAGTAAACATTAACTTCGCTCACACTTATTTAAATTACATAAGCTTATTAACTTATCAAAACATGTTTCCATTGAACAAGCATCGCAATTCGTAATATAAAGCAAAGCACTATTATAAAAGTTTTTAAAATCTAAATCATGTAAATATCCTAACCTATATTCGATAAGATGTCGAATATTGACGATGTCCTTAATGAATTCATCATCAAAGTAGAAGATTGCTTGGCCACTCTTGAACACTAATATATGTCTTCCAGCAACTAGTTGACTGGATAGTTTGAAATTTTCAAGTTCCACAACGGTTTCGATGAAATCTTTTTCTTTGTCATTATCCGGCATAATATTAATGTTGGTGATNCAGACGTCAGCCGATGTGACGTAGCCGGCTGAAAGCTATGCCGATCCTGCTCCAGTCGTCATCTTGAATTGTGGAGCAGAATCGGCACAGCTATTCTACTGTGCTCAAATGCTCTACTTTGCTCTTCATGAATGCCTATAGCATAAATACAAAAGCCTCCATAACTTGCGAAACCAATCACTTAGGATTTCCAATTTGTATTTTTTTTTATCTACGAACAATATAGAAACTTTCCGCGTTAGCTGATTTTGAATCCATTTTTGGACCACTTTTGCATGCTTGAGGAACACCGTGGATTTTTAACCGTGAATATTGCATTCAAGAACATAAATGATAATATAGGGTACACAAAGAAGAATATAATTTATTAATTGTATTTCATTATTTTATAATGGGGAATTATAAACATATTTTAAATTTTAGAGTATTTTAATAATTTATTTATTACATTTTACATGTGATATTCATACATTTTTTCAACATCACTAAGAACTAGGTTTTGATTAAACGTTAGGTACTCAAGCAAACAGTAACTTTGTTCACAATTGTTTAAGTAACATAAGTTCATTAGTTTATCTATACATGTTTCCATCGAACAACCATGGCAATTAGTAATATGAAGTATAGCATTATTATTAAAGATTTTAAAATCTAAGTAGTGTAAACATTTTAGCCTATACTCAATAAGATCCTTAATACTAACAATGCCTTTAATGCACTCTTCGTTAAAGTAAAGAACTGTTTCGCCACTCCTCACCACCAATACATGTCTATCTTCAATCAGTTGGCTGGTTAACTTGAAATTTTCAAATTCCACAACGGTTTCGACGAATCTTTTTTCTTTATCATTATCCGGCATAATGTTAATGTTAGTGATAAAATCATACCAGTCTACATCCATGAGAGAAATAACATCACTCGAATCTGTCATTTTAAATACCAGTTCGAAACCGCTGGCTGAGCTAATTCCAGTGGAAAATTGAATTGTTGAATTTGGTAGCCCATATTTTATTTCGCGATTAATTGTTTCTCTTCTTTTATATCTTCTGCACATTTTAAAAGGACGTTGTCCACATAGGTCGAGTAAGATGAACAATTTGAACTATTTTCCATACCAGAATCCGAAAATGACATTATTAAAGGAGAACAACAAACCGTCTTCGTCTTCAGCTAACAAATTACTAACTCTTTAAATCGCTCATAGAGTTATTAATATACCAGAAGAGGGGCTCAGATTTTGAAACAATATGTATACTATGTGAATTTTTATATTGGAGTTTAATATGTTAATTAACAGTTTATTGTCAAGGCACTTTCTATTTTAGAATATTATAATTTTTAGATATCATTTCAACATGTTTCAACCTGTTGCTGTCAACAGTGTTTCGAAGAAAAAGGTGACCTTCAGCGGAAACAAAGATCAACTATATCTAATGCTGACCTGGAGATACGCCTATCGAGAAAAAAGTATTGGGAAATTGTTGCTGTAGATCGTCACAGTTTCGAAAGGAAGATAGCAGATTTAGCCATCATATTAAATCCGATTTTAGATGTAAACCATAGACGTAAAATATTTAATGAAAGAATGTTGTGTGAGATAAAATAATGCTCAATATACAATAAAATTATTTACTGAAATAAGTAATAAAAATTACACAATATTAGTTCGTTTTTTTACCCAACTATTTCGTGAGCTGTCGAGACCCAACCACTTTACTAAAACCATATTTGCCTTCTTTCTCAGTATCTTCTCCACCAAATAAATGTCCTTGTACTTGGCATTCTGCAGTTCCTCGGTGTAAAAGGCTCCTTGAATTTCTTGTCCATTTTGATCTTTCAACAGATACGTTTGAGTTGGTTAAATTAATTTTTCGTATTTTATAGATTTCCGTACTCCAACTCGGGACATATCCTTTCCTGAAAGCTTCCCTGTATTTGCTAATTCTTACGTAATCGTGCAGTTTAAACTTGGGATGTTTAGAATCGATAATATTGATGTGACTGAAGGCTGTTTGTAATAATTTTTTAGCATTGTTTCTGTTCACTTGGCTAGGCTTCAATCTGATAGTCCTGTGCTTGGTATTATTGTATTGATGTACAAGATCTTGTAGCATGTTTATCCATTTATAATTTCCTTGAAGACTGAACCGCTTCCACATTAGATGTTTCAATGTTTTATTCACCCGTTCTACGACGGAGGCATTTAAGCTGGAGTAGGTACTGTAGTGATTTATTTTATATTTACTCATCAGTTCTCGAAATTCTTTGTTATAAAATTCCTTTCCCAAATCAGTCTGACAATTTCGGGGAGCAATACTCATCTTCGTTAAAAGTTTACGCATTGCATTGGTTACATCTCTTTCGTTTAACCGGCTCCGCCCAAACAAACTTGCTAAATACGTTTATAACTTAATAATGTATCTGTATCCTCTGTTTACCCTTGCATAAGGAATCATTTCCACCAAATCAGCTTATACGAGGTCGTGTAAGTCTTTTACGATGACGTGTCTTTTGGGAAATGTTCTTCTAGCTGGTTTGTGAAGCTCGTTAACAAGTTGCTCTCTAATACTAGTAATTTTTTGTTATAGGACACTGTAAAACGATTTCCACATACAAAGATGGTTCTTGCGGTACAGTTATAAAACTAATCTTGTCTCCTTTATTTATATTTGTACGAAGAAGTTGAACCAAATTAATAGCGACACCACCATTCAAAAACATTTGACAAGTAACCGGTAACATATTCACATTTTCTACTTTTCCAGATACTGGGAAGATATACTCCTCTTTATTATTCTCCAAAGTGTACCTACCCATTATTGTGGAATGCTGCTTCAAGCTTTTTAGTTTTATCACACATTTACTATGATGCGATTTACGCTCACAAATATAGAAGGGTTGTGATTCTGGTGAAGATGTTATTGTTTGGGAATAAGGAACTGATCTGCCCCTTAACATATGACGGCCAAATTTATCAATAGGCATGATGACGATTTAAACGATGGATATAAAGTGTTTATTTGAAGATGTTGACGGTTATTTTATAATTTTAGCTTCTCTCATTTCCTCAATGATAAAAAAAATTTCGTTGTTCACAGAGTCATTTCCTGCTAATTGTGAAGCGATTAGGAGACCCAATCTATTTATTAGCTCATTAGGATCGTCGTAGTACACATAATCTATTTTATTATCCGTTAAATTTAACAGATGTTAACAGATATACATTCGAGCGTGCTTGAAATAAAATAATTGTTAGAAATCCCGTCCTGCGGTTATAAATGCGTATGTGAACCAATAGGCGACGAGAATTCAGAAAGAAGCGAGAGTTAGAGCCTACGTCTACCGCGCAGAAACCTATAAATAGTCAGTTGAATCAGTCAGNTCTACCGCGCAGAAACCTATAAATAGCCGTCCAGGAATCAGTTGAAGTCATAGTTATAGTTATTCTTTAGTTCTGCGTTATACCTTTTTGTCTTTTTTATTTGCTTCTAGTTGGCGAAGTAGCGACTCGTTCAACTAGTTAGTTCTTTAAATCATACTTATTTGCAACTTAAACTTAAACCTAAACCTCATTTACATTCATTTTATATATATCTACAAGTCTACAAATCTACGATCAAGTGCTACTTTAATCACCAGTGCGTGAACGAATCGAATACGTTACAGTTTATTTCCACATACGAACTTTTTGTCTTTTTTATTTGCTTCTAGTTAACGAAGTAATGACTCGTTTAACTAATTAATTCTTTAAATCATTTTCGTACTCAACAAATAGTTAAAAGTGAACTTTAATGAACATTCTACGTACATTTCAATAAACAGATACGTTCTGTACATCAACTACGATATCCAGCATCTTTACAAACCTACATATCAACTAATCTTCGTTAAATTCATTCACGACATTACCACGTACAACATACGACCATTCTGCGAAAGTGCTACGTCACGCTCTCATGTAAATAGCGTCCTTCTTCTGTCTCCGAACTTTGAGAATCAGTGTGTTAAAGCCATAAATACAGTGTTTCATTCCTACAATCCCTGTTGTCCTATCCTAAGTGAAGTGAAGTGCAAAAACTTGGATTACACGAAACGTCGCTGTACTACAAGCTACCGGATTCAACCCTAGATCAGAGACCAGCCTACAAGATAAGCCGACACAAGGTAAGTGGCTTTACTTGTCAGTTTTACTCGTCAATTTTTTTATAACTTTACCGTATTTTCATATTTTGTGTCCTACAAATCTCTACTTTCGTTCTAAGCACACATTATTTTGATATCCAAGATATCATGGCGCCCTGGCATTTATAAACCTTCATAAGCATTCTAATTATTACATTTATAACAACTTTCATTAACCTTTTTACATTATACATTGATATTTTGAATTTCACCTAACTTTAGCGTTAACTCAATAGTCCCTTCTTTACCAAATATGGTTTTATAATTCTCCTGTATTTTTTACCCTGGGAGCCTTGAATTTATTCTTCAGGATTGAAGTGTCTACGATAAGCATTAGATCTATTCAGAATATCCATGTAATCATCCAAATCCGATTGTTTATATCCAGTACGCTCTTTTTTAAAGAGCAACTCGTACAGACCAGGTGTTCCAGCATACGTTACTCCATTTACTTTCAAATCTTTTCTAATGATTCCTAAATCGGAGCCCCCAATTTTAAACTTCTCCCTTTCAAGGTCATGTTTCACTCCATACTGACGATCACTGTCTGTCTCATCTCCTCTAACAGATAAATCTATATATTGTCTGGGAAGAGGATGGTACATCTCTAGATATTCATTATAAGCTTATGTGTTTGAAAGATCTTGAAGAAAGGCACGACTTTGCTCCACTTCCTGATTAATTAATTCGTCACTGTTTTGTTGATCTGTTTCAGCGGTTTTTTCCGGCTCGTACTGGTACGTATCTTCTAAAAAACTCGGTATGTTCATTGGTAAATAATTGCTATAGGGGTTAACACTGGATCTTTTTGGTGTGGAAGATCGCGATTCAGTTTTTATTTCTGTCGGTTCTTGCTTGACCGGCACATCGGTTTTAATGTTGGACAGTAGTTTTTGTAAAAGTTCCGTTATAGGTTTGTAACTCTTTTCCAACTGAGACTGCGACTGAGCTATATCCGATTTCAAACTTTGATATTTTTGTTTCACTGATTTTCTGGTTTTAACCAACTGCCTTGCTAATTCCTTATTCATGGTTGACATGTTAATGAGCGGCATCGATAATTCCATGTTTATTTATGCTCTAAAGGACAATGAAAGCGTCAAAGCCTTTTCTGTACCTTCCACCAGACAAAGGATAGCTTTTGTCTATAAGCAGAAACCCAAATTTATATTTCCAAGATTCTCCACAGATATATTTAAATTCTTGAAGAGGTATGTCAACATTGACGTGATCATCGTAAATGTGTTTTAGATTAGTGACATCTTGTTTGAAAAGCACTAAAAAGTTTGCATTATCTCGTATTAGTTGTTTTGGAATCGATGAATATGTTCGACTTAAATAAAAACAGTCTGTATCTTTATGTCGTCCAAAACAAAAATAATCCCTCATAACGCTCTGATTGCTGCACACCACATCGTCAAATATTATAACAGAATTGTGCTTTATTTCACTTGGAGGGACGACATCTTGATACTCATAGTATACAATCTCTTTGATGGGTTCCAGTAGCTGTTTCAGATACTCATATTTCGGTTGATATAGGGATTTTGAGTAAATGTACACATTTTCAAACCTCAAACCAGTTGGGTGGGCTAATAAACTTATTATGACATTAGTTTTACCTGACCCAGAAACTTTAAATGCTCTTGGAAGTATAGGGGTGGAGCTGCTGGAATAGCGAAAGCTGTGAACGACGCGAAAGCCGCAAAGGAAAAAATGGAGGAGGAGAAAAGACATAACCTGGTCATGGAACAGGCTGCTCTTGGAAAAGGCTTATATCTGCGTCCTTATAGGAAAGGACTTTATTTACCATAAAAAAACTCCCAATAAAGCTACCTCGTCGTGCATTGACTAATGTGGATTTAATTAAATTTGCTAAAATGTTACGTATTCCACATATCCGAGGAGTGTACATACAGGATGCCCTACCAGTAAAGATAAGAAGAAACGAATGTGGAATAGTTAATTTGGATATTTCGTTAGGACTAGGCACTCACTGGACGGCATACGTAAAGAAAAACAAGACAATATTATACTTTGATAGTTATGGTAATCTGAGACCTCCGAATGGAGTAACAAACTATTTTTATAGCGATGGTAGCTTAAATACAGTTAAATATAATCATGATAAATTCCAGCGGGACAATACAATAAACTGTGGACACCTCTGTTTAAAATTTTTATATAATCTATGTAATTGAGAAAAATCTGTTTATTATAAATAAAGTTTTAACTGTTCAATATGTCTCTAGCTTTGGCTTTATCTGGAAATACGTCTATTTTAAGTGCAGAGTATAACCCACCAATATACTTAGATGATGACGCTGAATATGTGGTTGGTCTATCAGATTTTGAAACCTTCAACGTAATTCCAAACATCGATGAAACAAACAATAAGTTTACGTATGGTAATACGACACTAACAATTCCAGTTGGAGCTTATGAAATTACCGATATCAATTACCTACAAAAACAAATATCAACTACCAATATTAACATCAGAGCCAATCGGAATACATCAACTGTCACCATTGATACTAATGTTGACATAGATTTTACGCATGAGAAATCTATAGGACGTCTGTTGGGTTTCAAAAAAAGAATTATTAAAGCTAATATACTGAACGAATCCAACTTTCCCGTCCAGATAATTAAAGTCAATGCTATATGCATAGATTGTAACATAGCGGCAGGTTCATATTTCAACGAAAAACCTGTTCACATTATTCACCAGTTTTTTCCAACCGTGGGACCAATATATAAAATAGTGGATTCACCTCTGAACATCTTGTGCTTTCCCGTAACCGTTAAGACGATCAACTTGACTGTTAAAATATTCGATCAGGACGGAAATCTTATAAATTTTCGTGAGGAAACTATCTCGGTCAGAATAAATCTTCGAAAGCTCTAGAGATGCTCAGTTATAAAAGAA